GCCTCCGTGCGCCGCTCCGCCCGGATGGCCAGGGCTGCGCCCGGGAATGGCGGAGCGAGAGAGCGGCGGCCTGGGCGGGGGGGCCGCGTCCCCGCCCGCCGCCTCCCCGTTCCTGGGGCTGCACATCGCGTCGCCTCCCAATTTCAGGTGAGCGTCCCCGGCCGCGCGCTCCGCCTTGGCCCGGCCGGGCTGCCCGGGCTGCTCTCCCCACCCCCAGAACCTCGGGGCAGCGGCGTGGCGACAGTTCCCTTCCTAGGACAGGGTGCTCCGAGAACCCCCGCCTCAGGTCCAGACCGAGCCGCCGCGTGTTCCTGCTGCAGCGGCTCCGCCTTTGCACGGCCTGGGGGGCGCTGAGCGGGGGTGGGGGTTCGCAGGTCGTCCCCCTCCCCGGCGCTGCGGCAGGGGCTGGGGGCCACCTGCAGTGGGCCTGACTAGAGATGGGCCTAGATTCGCGTAGTAACAGACAACCCCGGTGCTGGAAGGGGGGGGTCGTGGGCCCCTCTGCAGGTGGGCTGAACAGCGAGACTGGCACCAGCAGGATCCTCTGTGGTCTCGGGCAGTGCCCACCTGGCCAGGTGTGCAGGGCAGGTTCGGAAGGCTCAGCCCTACCAGGGGATGCTAGCCAGGCTGGGAAGGGGAGTCTGGTAGGAGTAGCCAGGGATGTGGGGGGTAAGTACTCAGGACCCCTTCTCCCCACCCCAACCTGGTGTGAGGTCAGGAGGATCTGAGCAATGTGAGGGGTGATGCTGGGGGGAGGGGAGATTAATACCCCCGCCCCCTAACTACCCCACACACACACACTGGTGAGGAGGGTGTTACGTTCTCACAGCCCAGGAGAAGGACACGGTGACAAGCCCCATTGTTTCCCCATCTCAGGAGCTGGCGCCTTCCCCTCTCCTGGGGCGCCTGCCCCAGCCAGGCCCCAGCTGGGCTCTGGCATCAGCCCCTCCTCTGACCAAGTGTTCTCTGGCTCCCAGGCACTCAGGTGGGCAGGGACCCTGGGCGATATCTAATGGCATCATCAGGCCCAGAGGCCTCCCCAGAGTACCTGAGCCCAGCGGGGAGAACCAGAGTGAGGGGGCAGTGGGTGGCAGCCTTGTGATATTCCCGGGCTCTCCCTGGAAGGGTGCACGCCGCCTGCCTGCCTGGAGGCCTCCAAAGTGGAAGAACATGGGGCTGACCTGGAAAGGCCTAGGTTCAAATCCTAGCTTGGCCACTTCCTCACTGCACTGGGTGGTCCCACCTGTTAAGTGGGCTAATTAATATTGATTCTTGCTTGGAAAGGAAATAGCCACTGTCCGACAAGTGCCACCCCCCATGAGGGCTGGGACAGCAGTTCTCAGAGCTGGCTCACCAGCCCCACCCCCACAGCCACCCTTCGGTACAAATCTGCCCTGGAAGAGATGAGGCTGGAGTGGAGGTTAAGGGAGGTGGGGAGCTTGCCTGAGACCCCTGGGAAGTCCAAGGCTGGGTCTGGGAGTGCTCAATCCCCTCTGACCTCTGCCCTGCCTCTGTGCCCACCTGCTTCCCCCTGCCTTCTGCCAGGAGTTGGCACACAGGTTTCCCTGAGCAGCTGCGGAGGTGGCCTGCAGCCTGGGAGTGTGTGGCCAGCCCTGGGCAGTGGGATGGGACGCTGGCCGGCCCTCCAGGACGCCGTGGCCTGTCTGTGGAGACCAGGCCAGCGTGGGAATAATGAGGCTCAGTGTCTCGGGCCCAAGCGCCTGCTCTGCCCACACCAGCTGCCCTTTCTCCCTTCCGCCTCTTGAAACCCCCAGCCCAGCTCCACTTCAGCCTGGGTGACTATGCTGCCTGTGATTCTTTGGTGGGGCACTTACCCTCTCTGAGCCTTTGTTTCTTCTTTAACAAGCCAGCTTTGCCCCCCACTCAGGGTGGTCCGGACACTCAGATGAGCTGACAGTGCTATTTCCAGGACTGGGCATGTGCGCATGCGTAGCTGTATCCCCGCCTCCAGGACCACGCTCAGCTCTCGGGAGGCGACCGGGAGGTGACCGGTAGCGCCGCTGCTCAGCACAGAGTAGTGCTTGGTAATGCCATGCTGGCTTACTGTATAATCAAGGATAAAATTCTACTCTCTCAGAGAGTACAGAGTGACAGTGGTGATTCTAAATTCTAAAAGTTTTGTCAGGTGGATGTGAAGGCGTGGACCTGTGATCCCAGCATTGGGAAGCTGAGGCAGGAGGATTTCAAGTCCAGCCAATCCCAGGCAACTTAACCACTTAGCAAAACCCTGTCTCAAAACTTACAATATTTTTTAAAAGCCTAGGGAATGTAGCTCAGTGTGAAGATCCTGGGTTTGTTCCCCAGTACCACAAATAAAATCAAATAATTTTTTTTTAAATTTTAAAGTTTTCTGTATCACTCGTACCCATATATAAACAGAACATTATTATTATCCACATTTTTCAGATGCGGAAACTGAGGTATAGAGAGGTTAGGTAAACGGCAGAGCTGGGATGTAAACACAGACAGTCTGATTTCAGAGCTGCCCCGAGAGAAAGAGAGGCCTGGAGAATGGGAGAAGCTGCTGTGAAGGGAGCAAGCATGGTGTGGACCCTGAAGGGTGGGAATGCCTGTTCTGGCAGTGGCTTTAAAGAACTAAGTACCCATTTTTTTTCTGATTGTAAAAATGTTCCATCCAGTCACTGGTGGTTACCCCTGGGTGTGGCCTGGGGCGAGGGATTTGTAAACTTCTTATTTTACATACTCTGTATTATTTGACTTCTTATTTTATAATGAGCATGTGTATGTAACTTACAAAAAAATAAAAGGAAATTTA